GCGCGCGCGCCATGGTGCATGTGTGGAGGTGAGAGGACATCTCTTGGGAGTTGTCTCAGGCTTGCTGAGAAGTACCTTTTCTCCCTATTCCATCTCACCAGCCCTGAACTTTTCATTATGTTAAATATTCTGGATACAGCTTTTTCTTTGAAGCTGTTTCTTTAGGCTAAATCCCTAGCAGCGTTACTGTCATGGTAAAAGAATAGAGATGCCTTTAAATGCTTAATAGCTTTTTTTTAAAAAAATATATGACCAAATGGCTTTCTGAAAAGGTGGTTCCGACTTAACTATGCCCTTAGCCAAGCACATAACCACATCCTCCCCAGCAAACAGTACAGTGATTATTGCAAATTGTAGCTACTATGCAGGTATACAGTGGTACCTCGTGATCTTTATTGGCTAATTTCTTCTGATTACATCTCTTGCTTTCTAATGCACGTGTGCACGTATGAACATGCGTGTTCTTTTTCTTCACAGAAAGGAAAATTCCGTTCTATCCCCCACCACTGCTGGATTGGAAGTACACCCAAGAGAAAATGCCCTGGAGCATAGTGCTGCTCCTCGGGGGAGGCTTTGCTATGGCAAAAGGATGTGAGGTACTTGTCCAGCTCTAGGTGGCCCTTGAATTCTACTAAGAGGTGGCAGACGTCACACCATCCACCCCGCTTCCATCCCCGGGCCATCTGTCACCACAGAACTGCATATTCTTTAAGCAGGGGACGATGTGCTGCCACCACAAACAGGGTCACGAAGGGGGAAGCAGGGCAGCATGAAAGAGGCAGAAGATGCTGTAGCCTTGAGGAATCCTAGGGAAGTCTCTCTGAGCCCTCCTGAGTATTCTCACCACGACCTTTGGGTCCTCTACTTGTTTCACTCCTTGTTGAGATGGTTTTAAATTTCAAAATTTTTTCTAGCTAAGTACTTAGAAGCATAGGAAAAGACCAGTTTTTAAGGGAAAACACAATTTAACAGTCTCCTGAGCAGAAGGTGCTGAGCTAGCTTGGGGCTGCTATCATCCATCCATCTGGCCCATCCTCTCCCCTGGCTCCCTCTGGCTCCCGGTTCTCTCTGGCTCTCCCGTTCTCTCTCTCTTTCCTCCCTCCCTTTCTCCCCCTTTCTCTCCCTCCCATCCTTCCCACCCCACTCATTCACCCTTCCTTTCTTCTTAGTTCTTCCTTCCTCATCATCCATTCTATCCATGTACACATCCATCCAACACATCCACCCATCTTTCCATCCATCCGGGAACGTAACGTAACAGATAGACTTGGCCTGCACTGTGTTTAATGTTTCCTCAGCATCTAGGGCAAAGCCTGGTGCACAGGAATACATGCATGTTCTTTCTTTAGTGCTGGGGATCAAGCCCCCACAAAACACTGTACCATTGAACCCTATCCACAGCCTAACATGCAGATCATATATTGATATAAGTTAATACATGTTTCAGATGAACAGATCCACCAGTGTAGTTACCTCTCATGCCACCATTCCTCCACCCACCAATCCATTTCTCCATCTGGCATTTTCTTTTACGTAATCCAACATTCCTAGTGATAGACCAGGCACAGAAGTTATAGAAGACATCGAGACATAGTATGTGTTTTTGAAGACTTCACAGTCTAGAGACTTGGGGGCATCTACAAGAGCCTTTTGGGAAGAAGTGACATAAGATCAAAGAGGTCCCTGGTTGAGGCAGTGAGGTTGGAGAAGCCAGCAGAAGCCAGCATTTGAAGGCCTGGTTTCAGGATAGTAGGTGTGGCCTTGATTCTGAAGGCAAAGAGAAACAGCCAGGAATGACTTGGCCAGATGGACATCCTGAGTCTGGAGTGGTGGTCGGAGGCCCGCAGGGCTAGAGAAGAACCAGTGGGCTCTCTGCAGTCTTGCAGAACTTGGCCACTTTCTCCTTGACACTTGCTGCCGTTTTGATCGCCAGGATCCCTCTTTCCCTGCCTCCCTTCTTCCACTGCCCCTCCTCAGCCTCCTCCACTGGCTCTTCTTCAGTTCTCCCACAGATGGGATCGTTTTCCAAGGCTCTGCCCTTGGCCTCTTGTCTATCTGCTTTCTGCTCTTGTCATCCTATCCCAGAGCTCCAAGGCTAAATCCTCAACTGCCCAGGCCATTCTGCCAAGCCTTGAGAATGAGGAAGACTAAGGGGAGAAGGTGGATAGGAGGCATCTAGGGTGACCTGTGACTGCTGGGTACCAGGAATTAGCAGGTCATTATAAATATAATATATTTAATTTTATATATATTTAAATATATATTTAATTATATATTTAAATACATAAAAATATTATATATATATATATATATATATATATATATATATATAATCTCCCAGCAGCAATGGCAGGTGGATCCGTTCACTAGTTAGGGATCCCAGAGAAAGAAGCAGATTCTGGACTGAAGAAGAGGAACCTAGGCTGGGGCATGTTGAACCCGATGCGCTCACAGGACATTCCGACAGAAACTTCCAGATAACATCTGACGTTTGAATCTAGTTACTAGACCAGCTGAGCCACAAGCTAAGTTGTAGGAACCAAAATATTGAGGAGGATGAAAATTGTAGGGCTGGATCAGATTACCTACGTGCAAGAGAGGGGATTGGGGATGGGGTGGACTGAGCTCCCTGGATCCTGGAGGAACTGTAAAGCAGGAGCCCTGAAATGGTGTCTTCTGTGATCCCCAGACTTCTGGGCTCTCTGAGTGGATGGCAAGACATATGGAGCCCTTGAACTCAATGAAGCCTTCCACCATTACCCTGGTCCTGTCCTGTCTTATTGCTCTGATCACAGAGTGCACAAGCAATGTGGCCACCACCACCTTGTTCCTGCCTATCTTTGCCGCCATGGTAAGTAAGTCTGCTGGAGACAGGAAGAACACTTCACGGGAAATTGTTGAACCCGTGACCATTTCCTGAGAGGCAGGAAAATTAGGATCCCAAGCCTCACCAGGCTTGAATACTCAGATACGGCTCTGGCTCTGATGTGGTCTTGTGCACACTTGATGAGCCTGGCCCCGAGGCCTCTTCTCACTGCCTTGTTCATTCTTTGTATTCCTTCACACCTGCCCAAAGCACCAAATGTGCACCAGGTGTGCATATGTTATCGCATGAGAGAGATGGTTTGGGAGACGGAGGCAGGATAGGGTGGTTGCAGGGCCAAGGTGACTTAGTGAGACCCTGTCTCAGGGAAAAAAAAAAAAAAGACTAGGGATATAGTTCAGTGGTAAAGCATTTGTCTGGCATGTGTAAGGTCCTGGATTCAATCCTCAGACATGTGTGTGCACACACGTGTGCACGTGCACACACACGTATGCATGCATGCACTCACCAATAACCACACAACTACCTGCCTGGGTTATTTTTCAAGTTAGTTAGAAGAGGGCATATGTCACTGGCTGAGACCACAGAAAGAAGCCCAGGGGATGTAGAACTCGAGAATGGAAAGATTGGATAGGCCTTTCTGTCCAGAGAAGGAGAGGGCATGCCTGACTAGAGGAAGGCTGATGAATGTTGATTCCAGGGCAAACTCAGCTGTGAGCTGGAAACTGAGGAGGAAGCAAAGCCTATGGGGAAATCGGCTGTCATCCGTTCTTACGTTCCCGCTGTCATTCATTAAGAGCAGCACTGACCTCAGGGAGTTCAGGAAAAGCCAGAAGACCTGAGCCCCATCCCAGAGGTGTGCTGAGAGTCCCCCAAACTGTACATGATCCACAGAGCACCTGAACGAGGGAGTCACCAAAGCCTGCCCTGGAGAGGAACAGGGAAAGGCTGTGGTTAGTCCGAGCTCAGAGACAAAGCTAAATTCCCATCCAAGCAGCCTGGGGCATCCAGTTCAAAAAAGCAAATCTGAATGGTTTTCCCTCCTATTGCTTGGGAAGGCAGAGGGGTTTGGAACAGCAGGGGAACTGTCTCCTTCCCTAAGCAGGCTGCCCAGGCAAGGGTTAAGGAAGTAGAGAAGGAAGAGGTGGAGGAGGGAGAACTGGAGAGGAGAACAGGAGGAGGAAGAAGACAGGCTGAGGAGGACAGGGAGCAAAGGGAGCAGGAATGGGGGAAGAGGGATCTTTTGGTGCTGGGCATGCAGGGGGATGCTCCTCTCTTAAGCAAAGGCCTTAGCTTTGTCATCGCCTGTGAACCCTACGAGCACAAACAGCCCCAGCTAGGCAAATACAGGCTTTAACCTAAGGAGGTAGCTGGGACCTTTGAAAGTAAGCTCTTCTATGGGGCCGGAAAGATAGATCAGTGGTTAAGAGCTTTGGTTATTCTTTCAGAGACCCCAAGTTCAGTTCCCAGCACCCACATTAGGCTTAGAACCATCTGTAACTCTAGTGCCAGGGGATCCAGCACCCTCTTCTGGCATCCTCAGGCACTGCATGCACGTGATGCACAGATATATATTCAGGCACTCATAAAATAAAAATGAAAAAAACACAAATCTCAAAAAAGAAAGAGGCTCTTCTAGAGGCAAAATTTCTGAGTAAAATTGCCCAGAACTACCATGAAGGCCCTTCATGTTCCTGGACATCCACATGTAGAAAGTGAACAGTGGTGAGCATTCAGCTAAGTGACACTGTTTGCATACACCATCCTGCTCTTGCTAGCCTATGAGTCAGTTTCCTGTGTTCTGATGTTAAATCATTACAGTGAAATTTCTGTAGACGTGTTTGCACATGGAAATACACATATACATGATAAAGAGTCCCTCTGATAGCTGTTCAAATTATGTTATTTATTTATTCACTAAATGTACGACGAATGCCAACTCTGTTCCAGTAGATGTAGTAGAATTTTAAAGTGTAGAACCAAAAAGGCAGATACCAGGTTCCCAATACAAAGCAATCCCAGGGGAGCATTTGCAGGTGAGAAGGACTGACTCTAGCTTCAGACTGCCTCTGTCTGTGACAAGGCAGGCAAGACGGCTCATGGGACATTTTAAGATTCAGTACAATCCAAACAAAGGTTCCGTATGGCCTCCGGCTTACAGCAAGTACCCTCCCACAAAACATGTGGGCTAAACTGAGGGGCTCCAGAAAAGCATCCAGGGGAGGTGGCCTCTGAGCTCAGCCTTTTGTGGTCAGTAGTTGTCATGTAGAGAAGTGTGAAGTTCAGAGGGGGTAGCCAGACACAGTTGTGAAGGTTACAGTTGTGGACTGTAACCCGGGCCTCAGGGAATGCATCGGAGGTATGGCCTGTGGACTCCTGTGTGTTCTGTGCTGTGAGCTCCTGTGTGTCTCTCCAGGCTCGTTCCATCGGCATCCATCCACTGTACGTCATGATTCCCTGTGCCATGAGTGCATCCCTTGCCTTCATGTTGCCTGTGGCCACCCCGCCTAATGCTATCGTGTTTGCCTATGGACACCTCAAAATTGTTGACATGGTAAAAGCTCCTTTTATCTGCTCCTCTTGGATGATGTTGGTGTGAGTGATGTGTCCCGTTGGTGAATGGGGTGTGAGTTTCAAAAGGGTGGCATATGGGGCTGGGGAGACAGTTTAGTTGGTAAACTGCTTCCTGGGCGGGCCTGAGGGCCTGGGTTTGGATTCTCAGCACCTGCACAAAAAGCCAGGAAGGGTGGTGGGGCCTGCCCTGTAACCCCAGGACTTGGGTGGTGAAATAGAAGGATCTCAGGGGCTCCTTGACCAGCCGGTATCGCCAAATTAGTGAACTTCAGGCTCGGCTTCATAAAGCAGAGGACTGGAGAGGTGGTTTGGTGGTTAAGAGTACTCACTGTTCTTACAGAGGACCCAGGTCCAGTTCCCAGCACCCACATAGTGGCTCACAGAGATCTATGGCTCTTCAGGCACCAGGCATGTACGTTGTGCCCGCACACACACATGCAGGCAAAACATTCAGACGCATAAAATGAATCTGACAAATGGAAAGGAAGGTAACACCAGCTTCTGGCCCCCAGACATGCAAGCATGAGCAAGTACACCTGCACACACACACACACACACACACACACACACACACACACACACACACAAACGGAAAGAACAACAGAAGGACATCATGTGATCTGAGAGTACCACAGAACACCTAGACCTATTTGACATTTTTGTATTTATGGTGCAGCCTTTCTTATTTATGGAAATGATCTCATATGAGTTCTGTTCCCATGGAAGGTCCTATCTGCAGAAACCTTTGTGGGTCCTAGGGAAGTCCTGGCTGAATACTTGGAAGGGATGGAGTGGGGCCCTCACAGGACAGCAGAATTCACAACTAGTAAGAACCCTCAGGACATCCAGGAGGGGGATGGTAGTCAGAAAGGCTTGTGCAGTGTCTGAAGAGGGGATGCCTGATGAGGAGCCCATTTGCTTGGGGGTCAGTGATGTCTTGGAAGCAAACACAGTCACAGACAGAGCTTTCCAAGCCAGGTTTGGCTTTCTTACCTCTGATGGGGGAAGAGTGACTCTGTGGCTCTGGGCCAGGGATGAGTGAGTAGGTGAACTGGGGAGTCAGACTGGTTCTTACCTGAGGCACTCTGAGACGCCACCCTGAGTTTTCTTTAAGCACGTGGGTCCCAGAAAATACATGTTGCAAATTTGATTCTGAGCCCCAGCAAAAAGTTCATGCCAGAGCGTTGGAGTGATGGCTCATGAGTGTTAGGAAAGCCTGCAGCCTGGGTGGCAGGAAGAGCTGGAGGGTCACAAGAAGTGGCAGATGTCTCACATCATCTCCTGAAGTCACTTTCCGATGCCATAATGGGTACAGAGACCCTACCTGTGCTGACTCCTTCCCGGGGTTTCCTTCAGCAACAATGACACTGAACTGCTTTGTCTGGGGATGAGAGGGGGCCCGGAATGTAGGAACACAAGGTCCAGACAAGACCTGAGTTGCTGACTGATCCTCTTTTTATTCTATAGGTAAAAACAGGATCCGTGATGAACTTCATTGGAGTTGCATGTGTGTTTTTGTCAGTTAACACCTGGGGACGGTCCTTGTTTAAGTTGGATGAGTTCCCTGACTGGGCTAATTCAACAAGTATTAACACTTAGGAAAAGCCGCAGCAGAACAAGCATGGCCCCCCCACCCCCTCCCACCCTTCTGAGGACTGTGATCCTCTGGCGCACCTTGCACAGAGCACTGGTGCTCATACCCCAGTGTGATCCAATGATGCCAACACCCTAGAAGATCTAGCCAGTTAGTCACCTCTTTCTCCAGGCTGATTCAGAGATGGCAATGGGCGACTGGAAGAGAAGTAAGGGAGTCCCTTTGAGAGGCCACGGCCTCATCTTTCCCAGGACCCTGCCATCCCCTCTGGGACAGACAGGAAACAGAGGGACCAGGACTCAAGATCCTGTACCACGTGGCTTTGAAAGACTACTTGGTCCCATGCTGGGCTTTGGTTCTCACATCCTTGTTCCCGTGGTGTCCTCGGGGGATTAGATCAGCAGAATGAGAGCCCAGCCCCTGTGCCACCTCTGGATGCCCCAGATCATCTCTGTCACTGAACTCTGATCTTGAGCAGCTTCCCACCGCCAGAGCGAGAGCGGGAGTCAAGGCTTCCTGAAGACTTAGACCCTACACGGCGCCATCACTCATGGCTGAGCAACCTGAGGTGCTAACATCACGACATCCCTGCTCACCCTTGACGGACCCGTCCCCTACTTGTCTTGTTTCATATTAATTAACAATTCAAACCCCTTTCCCAGCTCCCCACTGAGCCTCCTTCTACTCTGATATCCCTTTATTGTCTTGGCCAGAAGCTGCTCACGCCCCTGGCCGAGGCTCATGAGAAAACCCCAGTTTTTCCAGGGAGCTCAGTTTGGTTCTTCTGGGAATGCTCTTCCTGCCAGACCAGACCAGTACAGCTGGGATCACACTCTGAGGATGGACAATGGTCTTTGGTGGGTGGTATCCAAGGGGCTTACCTAAGTCTCCCCTTAGCTAGACCTGGAGCAGCTTCAACAGCTCATTTCCAAGGACTGGACCACTGCAGTTGGTCTGTCCTGCTGGAGTTGGAGCTCCTCAGGGAAGGCCTTTCCCTTGCAAGCTGTGCACTGTTGCCAGGCCTGGTGGCAACAGAGCGTGGTTGAGACTGAGTGATATCCGGTGGTCCCCGAGCAGTCGGACCCCACCAGAGGAAATCAGTTGACCTGAGAGTATGGGGAATTACTCCAGAGTGTCCATGGGAACCCACAGGACCCCTCAAATGAAAGGGAGACAGGGAAGGAAACTCCCCCTTGTCCCTCAGTGACACTCTCTTCCCTACTTATATTGCTCTGAAAAGAAGCACTGGAGGGTAGATAAGGCCCATGGGTGTCATTTTTCTGGGCAGAAGACAGTATGGGGACCCAAGGAATCCCCATCAAAATCCAAGTGTGTGCCTGGTTCCTTGGGAGGGTAACTCCTGACCACACTGTTGAAGGCTTACCCTTGTCAAATAATCTGTCTGCTATGGAAAGTTCCAGTGGGCTGACTGGTCTGTGATTTTGTGCCTTGTGGAGGAGACAGAGGGAGGTAGATGAATAAACAGTTATTCTCTGTCCACCTCCTGGGTGCCTGGCCTTCCTGGACATGGTGAATCTACCAGTTATCATATTCCATATTTGTGGCTACCCTGTGAGACAGCCAGCATTAGGATCCTCACTTGTCCTAGAAGAAAAAAACAAGGCTTAGAGTAGCCAAAGGGCAAGTTCTAAGTCCAACTAGTGGCAGTTCTGGTTCCAGTAAAGATAAACCCCTTTCTCCTTCCTCTAGCCACGAAAGGCCTTGGCCTTATTGGGTTTATAGGGAAAGGTGGGTGGCTGAGAGCTCACCCAGGAAAGATCTCTGAACATGAGGCCTTCCAGTTGCCCCCTCTGAGATGGGCTCAGGAGAGGGCTGAAGCAGACAGAGCTGGTCCTTTCCCTAAAACTCTCCCTTAGGAGAGTCTGACAGAAATGGTGACCATCATGTCACATTGACGGCCTCTCTTTATGCAAATCACTGATCTCCACAGCCCTGTTGTGACTGCTGCTGGGTCTAGGGCCAGCATTGTGGCTGAGTGAGAGCAGGTCACCCTGAGTATGACCAAGGACTGATCTGTATAGAGTGGGCACATGCTTGATTGCAGTGGGAAAAATCAGGGCGGTAGAGCATCTCAAGAGGGCCCTGAAAGATGAGTAGCATGGCCAGCGTGAAGGAAAGGATGTGGTAGGGCGAGTGGAGGACTCTAGTGCTAGATACCATCTGGAGAGCAGGAACCATGGTAGAAGACCTAAGGCTATCGCTGAGTGACATCTCTTACAGCCGGAGGGGGGGGGGGATATGCACCAATATGTCTGACTTGCATTCACGTGGAATGCTTTGGGCTGTAAATAACTGAATCCCCAGTGGACAGGAGGACCCTTTGGTGTCTACTTCATGGAAGTGTGGAGGTAAGGTCATCCAGCGGCTCACTTATGCCACCAAAGGCTTGGCCCCCACAGTCCACTCTGTCATCCTTTTGCCCTCTCCCTGGAGCCTTGGGTCACAGCTACATCTATGTTCCTTCTAGGGATGAAGAGAGGGTGCAGGAGTTGGGGGTTGTGATGGTGCCAAAGTGCGTCCTTCTCCCTTGCTGGGGAAAACGCAGCCTTTCTCAGAGGCCCCGTGGAGACGCCCCTTTATGCTACAATGGGTAGAACCGGGCCACATGCGTTTCCTTTGACCAGCCACTGACAGAGGAGATGGGTTGCGGTTGCAATACCATGAACTGGGGATTCGCCTGTGTTCCCTCATCAAGGGATTTCCATTCACTAAACAAATGGAAGTCTAAATTCTAGCAGGAGAAAAGGCAAGGTAGGGGGAGCTGCTGGGTAAGCAACGGTGTCTGGTGTCATCTCTCCGGGCCACTTGGTGGCTCCTTCTCCACAGAATGCAGCAGGAAAATGTCAGCAGATAGCAAGAGAGCAGCTAGCCTGGGCTATCAAAGAGCTTAGCACTGCCTCCACTTTCCAAGGACCAGGCTTCCTCTGAGGGCCCCACTGGGCCCCCCATGGTTACAGTGTGTGCCATAAACCCAGCTGGGTCCCCACATGTGACAAGGAGCAAGTCATCCTGCACATCTGTTTCCACTGTGAAAGGGCCAGACTAGACAGTCTGTGAGGGCCTTTCCTAGAGTTGGGAGTCCTCGTCTTAGGTGACCACTCCTTTCCTTCTGCCGTCTATAACTCGGCCTCAACACCCTTGTCTCCAGGCCCGTGCGTCAGCTGAGAGCAAGCCCGTGACTTTTGGCTCCCACCTGAGGCTTAGCCAGTTGCGGTCTTCGGCCCCCCGCTATATTTGCCTTCAACATTTTGTATCGAGTTTCCCCTTCTTAATATATGAACCAGGTATTTGGGGTCACAATTAGCTGAACACACAATTCTGACCATTATTGTCTTCTGAATGTCTTTACCAGGGACTTAGGAGTCCATAAAGAACTTTCATTCCAAAGGCCAAGGCCCAGGGGCTCCTTACCCAAATAAGGTGTCTCCAAGGGCAGGCTGTGGGTCTCCTTCCCTGCTCCCTCTGAGCTCAGTTTCTCTGGAGCAGCTCCCGGGGACAGGTGAAGTCACTTCTTCCAAAACCTCTTGCTTGCGATAGAGAGGCTTTGGCTTCAGACTCCAGGTAGGACATCAACTCACTGAGTCACCCCTGAAATGGATAAAGATATTCTTGGTAAGAACATCAGCATGTTCTTATTTATAGAAATAAAAGCCAGCTCCTGGATTGTCTGGTGAGAAACTATATCTGGCTGTCCCATCCCAGAGCAGGGTCCTTTCTTTCCAGTGGCCTCTTCTTAGTCCCACAGCATCTTAAAAGTCTTGTCTCTCAGCCTACCAGGGGAGGTTTCACCCCCTGTACATTCAAAATCCTTTCACTCAGATGAATCTCCCCACATCACAGGAGGAACTAGAAGTGTGTCATGTCAGTCTGAAATCTTTGCAACCAGATTTTCAATTAATTTCCACTGGTGTCTGGAACCAGGCAGAATTCAGGTGCTCGGGAGCTTGGCAGAATCATGATCTGCCTGTCCAAATGCCACTTCCAACTTGGAACTTCAGGCTGCCCCTTTCTTCCTGACCTATCAAGGGTAAAGAGGTTGGAATTCAACCTCAGAACACCCTGTTATCCAATCAAGACCTTAAATCAGTCTTCCTAGTAACGTAAAATTAGTATGAGCAAACTAAGAAATTACAACAGGACAAAGCTATTTTAATTTTTCTTCCACTTCAGACCAGAGTCCCCCACATTCCCTGCCCAAAGGTAACTGCCAACACTTGCTCACATAACCTTTAGCAGCATTGCATATGCACAAGACTATGTAAAAAAGAAAAGCCTCTTCAGGGCAGGTAGAAGCCTGTGGCATGTATATTCTGTCTTGTTTCTTCCCTTCTACTCCACGTGAAATCATTAATTTGGAGGTTATTCTATTTCAAGTTATATTAAGCTTGGCCAGAATTTTTTTTTTCATTCAATAGTTAATTCTGAATTTGGATTAAGATCAAGTCAAAGGATGGAGAGGCAGCTCAGGGGTTAACAACACTGACTGTTCTTGCAGAAAACCTGGACTCAGTTCCCAGCACCCACACGGTGGTTCAGAAATGGCTGTAACTCCAGTTCCAAGGGATCCAATATTCTCTTCTGGCCCTCAAGGGTACCAGGCATGTATGTATCATACAGACATACATGTAGGCAAACACTTCTATACATAAAATAATAAAAATAATTTTTTAAAAAAATAAAGTCAAACTTTGTAGATGGCACAACCTGAAATATGTGCAGTCCAGTGATTTTGACAAAGGCACCTACCTTGTAAGCTCCCCTCAAAGGACTTCCCTTCTCTTCCAGAAACTGATCCCTCCTTTGGGCAGGCAGGTCCTGGTTTGTCTGTGTGCCTTTCACCCTTTGAACTTCACAGAAACAGCATCACATGGTTCATACTCTTGGATCTGATTTCTTTTGATAAACAAAATGCTTTTGAAACTTATTTCTGTTGCTATGTATATCTGTTCATTTATTTACTGTTGTTGTCATGTACTAATCCACCAAATGAACTCGCTATAATTCATCTATTCTGTTGGTGGACATTTGGGTGTTTCCAATTTGGGGCTATTATGAATAAAGCTATTATAGAAGTTGCTGGATGCTTTGTTTTTGTGGACATGTTCTTTCATTTCTTCTGGAAGGTCTGAGAGAAGATCTCCATAGCTGGGTATTTGGGAGTTGCTGGCAGGACAGAATCTTCTGCCTACATATGGCACCCAATGTGGGGCACAAACCTATGACCCTGAGATTAACAGTCTCATGCTCTACAAACTGAGCTAGCCGGGCCAGCATTTATAATCAATATAAGCCTCTGTGTGGTAATTTGGGAAGCAGCTGCTGGGTATTTGGGAGTTGTTGGTGAGACAGAAACTTCTGCCTATACTCCATCTTTTAAACAGCTGCTCATCTTCCACTCTAAGTATGCACCATGGAGTAAACAAGTCCCCTGTTGGTAGACACTCAGGTTTCTTCCCATATATGGCTGCTGCTGCCTAAGAGGAATCTGTGCATAAGTCTTTGTGCATATAAGTAAGAAAAGTATGTTCCTAGAATGACATGCTTGCTCAAAGGATGTATATTTGGTTTTGGAATACCAACATGAGACAATTTGCTTTCTAATAGGCTCTGTCCATGTGTGTTTTAAGAGCTATGCCTAGGCCTGATCCCACATATGCCTGAGCAACTCTGTGTGGAATCATATTCAACCTTTGTTCTTTTATCTTTAAAAAATGTTTTTTCATGACATTCATTCATTCATTCATTCATTCATTCATTCATTCATTCATTTATGTGATGTTAGGACCTGATGAATGCCAAGCTCTACCACTCAGATATAATAGCCATGTATTTCATTAAGTTGTGAATAATGTTCATATTTCCTTGTGTTTGGACATATTTCCTTGTGTTGGTAGCCTATTTAGTCTTTTCCTGTAAGACTTCTGGTTCTTGCTCATGTTATTTTATTTTACTTTATTTTTTATTTAAAGAAAATGTCTTTTAAGAGTTCTTTTCAGAGCTAGGCATTAATGATGTACACCTTTAATTCCAGCACTCAGAAGGCAGAAGCAGGCAGATCCTTGAGTTCGAGGCCAACCTGGTCTACAAATCAAGCTCCAGGACAGCCAGGACTACACAGAGAGACCATGTCTCAAAAATACAAGACACACACACACACACACACACACACACACACACACACACACACACAAATACACATACAGAGAGGGTGGGAGGGAAGGAGGAAGGCAGGGAGAGAGAGATTCTCATTTGTCAGAACTTTTTTTTTTTTTTTAAAGATTCATTTATTTATTTATTACGTACACAGTGTTCTGTTTGCATATGTCCCTGCACACCTGAAGAGGGAGTCAGATCTCATTACAGATGGTTATGAGCCACCATGTGGGTGCTGGGAATTGAACTCAGGACCTCTGGAAGAACAGCCACTGTTCTTAACCTCTGAGCCATCTCTCCAGCCCCTTGTCAGAACTTTTTATATA